GCGTTTCCAATAAAAGCTACAGTAAAAATGAGCATTCCATTCATGGTTAACTCACCGGTAAACAACTTGGCCGTCTTCAAGTGAGAGCATCATCTTGGTCCCCGTGACTGGGTGTAGATGATACATCAGCAGGCGATTTCCTATCAATGAGGAGGGTTTTATTTCAAATTCTGCGGCGATCTCTCGTAACGTCTTTTTGGCCTTCTCCGAGGTGTAATATTCAACGGGATAGTAAAATTTCACGTAACCTCCATCCTCGATTTTCGGGAATCGAAAGCCGTCAGTTGCTGGAGAGATGGTTTAAAAGAGAAACGGTACAGCACGAGGGAGAGTAAAACCTGAAAATTGAGTCAGAAATAACTGAAGCAGGTTAATTCTGTCTTGTACTTCAGGCATCTGCACTTTTGGAGATTCCTACTATTTGTTAAAAATAATTTTATTACCTTTTACTAGTTTACCTGACAACTTTCGTCTTTTCCGGAGGGAGGAGGTGTTAAGACAGTACACAAGAGTCATACAACAGCTTGTTTTTTTCGTTTCTTTTTAGTCCAACAACTTATTCTTCAACTGGTTATCCTTTCCACATTTCCCAATTTTAACCGGATTATTCAAGCCTTTTCGTTCCTCAATGAATGTAAAATTGGTAAAATTGGTAATGCCCTGCTCGGTAAAAATTATTTATGGTTTTCCATTTGAGAAATAGAAACAACTTTCTTTCACAATATCAATTGTTCAGAGAACCGTTTATATTGCATGAATAAAATCCGAGAGAAAAAATTTAACCGCATCCCCAAATGAAGCAATGCCAAACTGACAGTTGCATAATAGAAACTTCGGGGCAAAATAATGCTGGTAACACGCGAAAACAAAATTAGACTGTTTTAGCTACAACGAATAAGAATAAAAACATGCAACTTTGATCAATCGCTTCAAACGGCCGTTCCGAAAACCATATAATTAACTCGCTTATCCCAAAACAAAGATGATTTTATATTTTTACCCACGTTATTTTTACCTGACAAACCTGTCATTGAGAATTTTGAAATTTCTACTGTAATTTAACTGTGCGTAGTTGTAAGTTGGCTAATTATAATCAATAAGTGAAAATGCAAATAACTGCTAACATTTTCTTGTCTTGTATCAGCAAACTGCACTCGAATTATCTACCGAGAGAATTTATACCAAAACCCAAATCAATCTGCAGCTCTTTATGTAATGAGCATAATTATTTTCTGTCAAAGAATGAGCTTGTATTTGGTTAGATGTGCAGTATGAGTCCATGCAACCATGAAACTTCCAGGAAACAGAAACCAACAATAAGGTGAATATACACATGNTGCTCGCCATCCGTCCAGGAGGCAAGTATTTCACCGCCCGATCCGAGCTTATGACCCAGTTATTCTGACCAGCTGGTCTCACGTCGAGGCTACACGATAAGGATGCCAATTCCCTGCAGGGCTGAGAAATTTGCTTATTATATGTTGCATAATTATTCGTCTTCTGTTCATGCGAATAGCCTGTGAGCCAAATTTCATCTCGATCAGACCAAAATTTTTCTCAAGGTTACTGTGAGGGTTAAACAGAACAGAACTTCGACAATTTGAACACAATATGGACTGAACACAGTTTGACATACGATATTCATCATGTCCAATCGCACATTTTGGTTAGAGTGCTGACTACACTTTTCAGTTAACTTTCTGAAGTCATTTGTGACAATCAAGGCTATCCTGCTCAAAGTTTTGACCCACCGAGGGCCAACAGTAGTGGTACACTTTGGGTTTCTAGTTGAACTTCACAGGAGAGTACTTCTTGTCCAGAAATCCTTTGTACTATTTTCCAACAGTAGTTCCGTGGATCTCCAGGCAGCAAACGATAGTCTTGAACCGATTACTTATACCACGCAAGGCACTAGGTTTGTCCATCTAGTACAAAGCATCTTTTCACTTTTATTCATTTCCAAGAAAAACAGAATAACAACTTGAATAAAAATATTTTGTTCACGAATTTCAAGTGCGCTCAATCAGCTCTCAACAAATATAATATGTTTCGTTACATAATACTGAAAAGGTGCTTGTGAAAACACCCGGTGAAAGGCAATAGATTGTTCAATTAAAATGAAATGCATGAAAATTTCGATCACTCTGTTAGGCAATTGGGTAATCGGACCACAACAAATTGTGACGGTTTGAGTAGTTTTGGTAAATCGGTAGTGAACAGAGCAAAAGATCAACCTGTAGCGCATAGAATTGTGAAAAAGAGCAAATTACATAATAGGATATCGTGCAGAGCACGATGAAGATGTACCCAATGTCCAAGCAACTATGGGAACATGAGTATTGCATAAACATCCATTCCCCTCATTAAACAGTTTTGATATAAATTATGATTCATTAGCCTGCAGAAGAATTACCGCATACGAGCTTGTTCACTACTCTGTGTTTTCTTACGATGCATACTGATGGTGGATTCGGAAAACTAAGAACACTCACTAAGGGCGTGCAGTTCAAATTCACCACCTTTATGTTCTTTTGGCCCTGCAGAAATATCAAACACGACCACATGCAACATTTGAAAGACGGTGAAACAGTCAATATCATTGATAATAATCTACTGATTTTTCATGTGCTACAGTGATTTCTTTGATGAAAATCGTCGACGATTCAATCAATTGAATTACGCTGTATGCAATCAATATTATCTTAACCCGAACCATATTTTCTTAAGCACCCACCT